TGGTGCGCCGGTCTAGCCATCGAAGCGCGCGTTGAAACTCAGGAACAGTATCCAGGGCCATGCGCGCACGAGTGGCCGTGCACAGTGACAAGAGTGCGTTCACCTTTGGACCATTCCATTCACGCAGGAAATGCCAGGCAACAGTACTGAGCGTGCCAATCGGAATGCGGAACGCAGAGGCGAGGGCACCCAACTCCAGGTCGAACAGACGGCGAGGTGGAGGGAGATACTGAGCGACATAACTCAACGTAGGCACAACACGCGTTCGGTAAAGCACACCCGAGACAGACGTAGCCTGCACACCCTGGCCGATCGCTTTAGCCCGAGACTGGTACTTTTAGCAGGGCCCCTTTCCAATAGTCCTCAAGAGTGGCACCAGGTCCCACGAACATGCCCAAGTAGAACAGCTTCGACGCCACCTGGAAGGACGTCCACTGCGGGAGGCAAAGCCTAAGATATTGTGCGACTCTCTCTTGCAGCGCAGGCGTAAAGGCAGAGGCGACAGGTGCCAAGAAACACTTGGGCGGCTTGAGAGCGAGGTGTGCGACCCGCTCCGAGACTCCCATGATTCTGGCGAGCGTCCGCAGACTCTGAAGCCGTTTAAGTACTCCCCCAATGTCATCAGCACAAGCTCTGCTAATCCCCATCCTCCCCTTCTCCAAGGATACATACAAGTCATGAAGAGTGGGAGTAAGAGCAATAGCAAAAAGCGATCCAGACAAAGCGTCACCCTGGATTATCCCAGACCGAATCCAGAAAGCAGAAACCATTGTCCCGCAGCATGACATGGCCCCCTCGATGGCAGCGCACAGGATATGCACGAACATGAGCAGAGCAGCAGGGCAACCCATACGTTGGAGCACCAGGTAAAGATACTGCTGAGACAGACTAGGGAAGGCGTGTCCATAGTCCAGAGCATATAATATTGGACATTCTTCATCAGCTTCAGGTCGGCACGAGCATGCTCGGGCAACAGCATCAACTTCAGCAATATTCATTGCAAAGTTGCGGCCTCTCATAAAACCTCGCTGCGAAGGTGGCGCAGAAGCATCCAGTGGTTTCCGAATCGCATAGTTGACCCAGGCGGAGATGATCTTATAGCTCGTGTTCCTGAGGCCCAGGACCCTGACAGCATTGACATCCCTGGAGCATTCCCCTGCCTGTGTGTCGCCATCGCATTCTCCTTTAGGTAAAAAAAGGCCTGCAGCGTCTTGCTCTCGCTTGCAAAGGGGGCGAAACCGCAGAGCATGTCGAGCATCACATCGTGCGGGAGTTCCACTCCGCACGGGTTCGCTGCCCACGCAGCATTGCAAAGGCGGTCACATCCAGGAGCAGAATCCGTGGCCCGTGCCGGGGCCTTCTTCATCGCATAGAGGCCAGGGGGAGCACGCGACGAAAACTCAACGGGCTGGACGAACTTATCCACGTATTTTTCAGCAGCCGCACGCGGCCACGACTTGCGAGCGAAGGTGTTGCCCCAATGATCCCCGAGAGCTTTGCACCGAGCTTCAGGACCACCCACAGGGACTCCGTCGACCAGGACATCCCGAAGAACGAGCCGACGAGCGAAAGGGACCCAGATACGAGCACGACGTTCCAGGGCCAGTAAGCGACGACGGATCCGAGAAGCTGAAACCCCTCCTCCATCCAGATCACCTCCTCCAACCTGTGCCTCGAGACGGATACGAAGTTGCTCTCGATCCAATTTCGCGGCATTGAGCTGCTGCAGATTGCACCACTGCATAAAGGATGCCGCGTGCACAAGCTCAACTCGAGAGCCATGGACTTCAAGAGAATCAGCCGCAGCAGAGTGAGATCCCAGAAGCCGCTCCGCAGCTTGGACATCTTGTCTCCACACTGCGCGCGATATGGCACGAGCCGCCAGCAAGAGAGTGCGAGGATCGTGCGGCCGACGGAACATGATACGATCACGCGCCTCACGGCTGGCCTCTGACATCAGATACTTGTATCTCTCCAGTCTCGGGGCGGAGCTCATGTTCTCCAGATGGGATTTTTCAGCCTCCAGGAAACTCTTCAGAATCGTTTTGAACTCAGCCGACATACATATATGCTTGGGGACGGGTCGTTCCTCATCTGCAGGGGAGCGACGCTGACGAAACAGGACAACGTGAGCGGCGTGGTCACTGATCTTCTGCCTCGACAAAACCTCTGGCGCCCCCTCCACTTTGGGCGCGATCGTCATCTGCGTCAGAGCCCAGCCAGGCCACGAACACCAAAATCGGTCAATGGCGGCGACAGCATCGGCCTTGGCATCGCAATGCGTCGCAGCCGCGGATGTAATCTCTACAAGGGAATCGAGTGTGGGAGACCAGACAGGGGCGCGGGCGTGCAAGGGCCTGGGGACCCGCTGGGCCTCAGATGGCTGCGATAAGCTCAACTCTTCCTCAGCGGCAAAGTTGAAATCACCGTGCACTATGACTACGAAGCTTTCAGGGGAGGCCTCAGACAACGCGCGATCCTGGGTAATCGCGCCGCACACATCCCGAATTTCATTAACAGTTAAATCATGGTTGTGGACATTCCAATGGACGAGAGTGGTGTCCCCATCCGAAAAAGCAAACTCTCAAAACTCGGCCAGCAACATGCGAGAGGGGTGTGGCGGTGACACCATCAGGTGGTGAGGGCTGACCATTTTTGATCACACCAGGCACGACCGTGGCTACCCCACCTCGGATGCGCTCAGCGGGATCCCCCCCACAGAAGCTCGAGAAGATCAGAGCCCCAGGGAGAGCCTTCTGGAAAAAAGCTGGTAAGCTGGATTTTTATCCTGTCTAACTTCCTGAATTGCCGAAATCGAAGAGCCTAAACACAGACGCTTCAAATAACCCAACTTCGCAGAAGCATGTTTACCTTCATACTGGAGCAAAGCTCTACAATTCCAAGAGTTAAAGCGAAGGCCACCCAGCGCCTCTGCATCCTGAAGAGAGGACAGAGGGCAGACTGCAAAGAGGCGTGCGAATCTGCTAAAGACACCACTGCGGCTCAGCGTCTGGCTCAATAGCGCTGCTGATCGCGGTGGCAAGCACCTGCTTGTCGAGGCCGAGTTTGGTGAGCGTGGCGGCGTTCCAGTGTACTTTCGTCGGAGTACGGCCCTCAAACACCTCCAGCTTGAGAAGCGGGCCCCACCCCACAGACAGCCAACCCCTCTCACGGTCGAAGAAGAGGCGGTGGGCAGCACCCACAGCAGGGGCCAGGAGCGACCTGACCTTGCGTCCCGTGATCTCGAGCTTGATGGTGCGCGGGTTCTTGTCCGCGCTGACATGTAACTTGGTGACTCCCTCTCCACTGTGCGTATCCACTTCGAACTGGCGCCACTGACCGTCCACGCGGAGCATAGAGAGAGCTTTGGCAACACGACGAGCCGCGAGGCCTTCACCTCCAGCGACACGAATAACGAACACCCGTGAGAGGACATCACGGCACTCGATGGACCACCAGTCGTCAGCGAATCCAGCATCTGCAAGCCACGGCTGCAGCGCCTCCTGCACCTTGACCTTCGACACGAGCTTGCCCGCGTTGACCTTGACGATCGAGTAGTCCACCTCGCGCTCGAACGACGGCGAGAAGACGATGGGCTTGTTGGGCTTCTGGTTGGCCGTGACCAGGGTCTCCTGCAGCAGCTTGACACTCTCCTTAAGTGCGACGATATCTTCTGAATGAGCCTCAACCTTCGTGTCCACAGACGCGATGATGGCCGAGAGGGAATCGCACTTCTGCGTGACCTCGCGACGCAGCTCTTCCAGCCGAGGGTTGAGAGTATCTTGAATCTGCTTGTCCAGTCGCTTCGGGAGCGACGCCATCTCGGCCTGGCACTTCTGGAAGCACTGCTCGAAGTGAGACTTGAAGGAGTTTGCAATGGTCTCGGACTCGCTAGAGATGGCCTCCGTGACTGACTGGGCGACCACACTGTCAACATCCCTCTTGAGCGCTTGGAGCTGGTCGGACACAATGCTGGTGCAGAGCGCGCGGATGTGCTCCTCAGAGAACTCACCCATGGAGACCTCCCCGTCGCTGTCCTCGGCAGCCATGTCTGTGACGGCAGGAGGAACAGTGGGAGTCGGAACAGCCGCACCACGAGCAGCACGCTGCCCACGAGGAGTGACAACCTTCGCCTTGCCAGCTTTGATGACTCCAGCACCGCCATGCGTCGACATCCGACAGACAAAATGACTGTGTCCGAACTCACGCGCGGGGCTGAGTGGGGGAGCCCAAATCCCCCAGTGAAGGCTGAGAAGAAGGGATGCCAGGCAGAACTGCCTTGCCTGCCGCGGACTAGCGGTATCCCTGCATGCCTTGGGGCTGGAAGCCCCCAAAGCCATAGTCTTGAGCCAAAATGGCTACGGACGGGGAGGGGGAGGAGGAGGAGGAGGAGGAGGAGGAGGAGGAGGAGGAGGAGGAAGAGGAGGAGGAGGAGGAGGAGGAGGAGGAGGAGGAGGAGGAGGAGGAGGAGGCAGGAGGAGGAGCAGGAGGAGCAGGAGGAGGAGGAGGAGGAGGGAGGAGGAGGAGGGAGGAGGGGGAGGAGGAGGAGGAGGAGGAGGAGGAGGAGGAGGAGGAGAAGGGGGAGGGGCAGGAGGAGGAGCAGGAGGAGCAGGAGGAGGAGGAGGAGAGGAGGAGGAGGAGGAGGAGAGGAGGAGGAGGAGGAGGAGGACGAGGAGGAGGAGGAGGAGGAGAGGAGGAGGAGGAGGAGGAGGAGGAGGAGGAGGAGGAGGAGGAGGAGGGGGACGAGGAGGCTGAGGAGGAGGAGAGGCGGCCCAACGCCGATCCTAGAATCTTGTGCCCCGAAAGCCTGTGCCCGTGCCGCCACCTCTGCCCCCTGCCCCCCCGCGGAGGGGCAGTCCTCCGGGGCGCCCCGCTGCGCGCGAGCCCCGTCGGGCCCGCCAGGGTGGGTGGCACCGCTCGCTGCGGGGTGGACCTGCCCCGAGGGCCTCCCCCGTAGCAACACGCGGTCCAATAACGGAGCCCCCCCCCCTCCCCAGGGCCTTCCCGCTTCGGGGAGCGCCGCGCGCTCGCCCGATCCCGGTGCGCGCGAGCCCTGCTGGCCCATCGCGGGCTCGACCGAGGGGGGGGGGGGTCCGCGCGCGCTGCCCGCAGCTGCTGCCTGCCCTCTCGGGGGGGGGGGGGGGGAGGGCGCGGCGCGAGGCGAGGGAGCGGCGGTGCCGGGGATTCGCGCGCCTTTTGCCCCCACAAGGTTGGGGCCGATGTTCGATCGCGCGCTGGAGCGCTCGGAAGGGATACGATTAGGTTGCGGACGTGTTCGTTGGTTCTCGGCAGTGAGCCTCTGGATGCTCTCCAGCAGCTGCGCCTCGCCGAGAGAGTTTGAGGTGCCCGGATCGCCCCAGACGGTCGCCAGAGAGCCGAATTATGACCCGAAAGCCAACGGGAACCTCAGGGGGGAACCAGTTCGGGGGGGACACACCGAGCTGGGGGGATCGGCGATGCATCGCCAGTCGAACGGCAAAAGGCCCCCAATAGCGAAGCTGCATGCTCCTGGGCGGGCGGGCTATCGGGCCTCTCTCGGAGATCAATGGGCGATTGGGGGTCGATGCGTTGCCCTCTGAGCCTACCCCCCTCTGACGTTTCTCCTGGTTCCTCCCGGCGAGGCCAGGCAGTGCCGGGGGCGGGTCACCACCAAGGGAGGGCGAGGGGGGTCGCCATCTCTTCGAGGTCCACGCAGGACCCCCAAAGCCCCCCTCCCGAGCTCCCCCCCCGAGCCCCCCCGAAACCGTCCAGAGACCTCCTCGATCCTCGACCCTCGGAGGGAGCTAGCCAACTCCCTGATGATGACCCCCCATAGCATTGCCTGAGCGAGGCCAGGATTTATGCACATCCACCGCCCGGAGAGTCGAACATCCAGGATATTATGGGGCCAGCGGATGCGAATGTTATTTTGGCCCCTGGGGGGAAGCGATCAAAGAACATCGCTTCACAGGGCGGTGGATATAGATGCGCAGACTCTGCGGTGGATATTGATGCGCAGATTCTGGCCTCGGACTCCTTTCTCCTTCCTCCACTCTCATTCCCTCTCCTCCTCTTTTTCTGTTGCGTGCATCGCCCCTCCTCGGGTTAATGAGATGCAAAATGCATGAATCACTCGTGAGACTTCCGCTCGAGATAGACCGTCTCCACGGCTTGTGCCGTCCCCCCATGTCCCCCCCATGTGGAATGCATTCTCACCTTTGCGCCCAACAAAGACCGGCCGTTGTTCTCCATCCTCCCCGTTCTGGTTCTCCTCCGTCATCTCTTCTCCCCCGTCCTGCTCCAATGGAGCATGATTGGAAGGGGGGAGCAAAGAGGAAGCGGAGGAAGGAGATGGCGGAGGAAGACGGGAGCAAACCCAGCACGCGCGCAACTGGTGCTGCAGTGCACCCGCCCGCCCTCTGAGGGGGAACAATAGGGGGGGACCGGCTCAGGGGGGGGGGGGGACATCGAGCTGGAATCGGCGATAGGTTCCCGACAGCAAATCCTTGCTTTCCTGGACGTGGTGGGCAATCGGGCCCCAATCGGCGATTGGATGTCGATCGATGCATCCCCCCCTCAGGCCATCCCCCCTTACATTGCCCCCTGGCTTTCGGGTCATACTTCGGCTCTCTGGTGACCGTTCGGGACGATCTGGGCACCCCTGGAATGCTTTCGGCGAGGCGCAGCTGCTGGAGAGCATCCAGAGGCCGTAAAACCGCCAAGAACAAACGAAAACGTTCGAAGATCTTAACGTATCCCCCCGGATGCTGCCCCCGACTTCTGCATGGAGCAGCACTCCTCCAAGAAATGCCCACCTGAACGCTGCCCCTGACATGCACCCGCTCGCTCTATACCCCCTCCTCTCAAGCCGAACCCTGACTCTGGATCTGCCGTACATTGGCTAGTTTTTGTATTTCAGACTGTGTTGGTCAGCCACCCCAGAAGATGCGAACTAGTAGGGCTAAAATTTAGCCTCGGAAAAGTTAGGCGGATATTTCAAGACAGCTGTGGGGGAAACAGCGACAGCAAAATATCGCCACCAAAGGATCTTGAAGAGTAAGGCGGAACATCCCGCTCTACTTGCGACATCGCCTTGAGAGACCAGCACCCCATGGGCTTCAAGCGAACGCCCTGGTTTGAAAAGAAACTGCCTTGCATCTTTTTAGCGAGTAGTGCGGAATGCGCAAAGATATGACCTTACAGTTTAGCGAGGTGTCCAACATGACCACAGTTTTGAACACATGGCCGCCGCATCTGTGTACGTACCTCCTGCATAATTAATTTTTCACTTATGGTCGTGAGCACAAAGAAAATATCAAGCGAAAACCTGGTCTCGAACAACAAATGCCCTCGATCCGTGCAGTTGTACCATATGTTTGAATTGATGGCTGTTCAAAATCAGAACTCCCACGCGATCTCAACATGTCGGACATGGTTGGCATCCGCCGATGTAGCTGATACATATGTTTATGCTACTGCTCTTCAATGAAAGTCAAACTTCGGAGGGGGCATCCTGCACTCCTGCTGCTGCTGCAAACTTGTTTTTTTGTTCCTGCGCGCTCCCCCCAACAATATCCTGCGTGCAGATCCCGGTGCAAGTATCTATAAAGCCACCTCGGACCCACGCATGCGCGCGCGGCTGTTCCGCTTGAGCGCCGGCCTCAACCGAGACAGACTTCGAGCCAGGGCAGGGCCACGGAAAACCCAGACAGAGCAGGGTCACGGAGAGCTCAGACAGAGCAGCGCACAGGTCTAAGAGACGCGGAAGAGACAAATCCCACAACTAGTGGGCCAAACCTCTCACTGGCAAGTGTCCCACGATGGCTGGTTTCCCCGGTTTACACTCGAGAGCCGACGCTGACATCGCGCCTAATCTAGACGGTTTGGGTATAAGGAAAATTCAAAAGAAAAGGAGAGTAGTCCAAATGTGAATGTATCACAAATTCTGAATCTAGAAAAGGCAGCAGCAAGCTCCATGTGGGGGCATACGATAGGAAAAGCCAATATCCCCATCCCACATAAGACGGGGGGCGGAACAGAGAGGGGAAAAACACGCGGGGACTTACGAATAACAGAATAAGTGGAAGTACAAAGAGATGTAGTCGAAATGCCAGTGGCTGTCCCCGAGGCGGGTCCAGAAACCCAGTTGCGCAACGTCGCGCGCAGCCTTTTGGGCGACAGGTGGTCTAAAGAGGGCCCCTTTCTTCTTCCACAACCCCTCTTCCCTTCGGGGAGGGGAACCCTCCCCCCCCCCCTCTCCCTGAAGACTTTTTGGAGGGGCCCCGAAGTGTCAGAGGGTCCTTTTTCGGCCCCTGGGGGGGGGGGCAATTTTTGACATTCCTCACGAAGATCGTGGCCCCCGAGGGAAGGAGCTACATTTAGGACCCCCTTCTGTTTTGACCGACCGCCTCCAAGATGGCCCCAAGAGGCGTGCACCAGGGCTCCCAGGAGACCCCCAAGAGGGCCTTAAAAGCGCCTCAAGACTCCAAGAGGCACCCGAAAAGGCACCCAAGAGGCACCCGAACGGCTTCTGAGAGCCCAAAATGACCTACAAGATGGCTCAGATAGCCCACGCTGGCTCAAGATGGTTCCCATGATGCTCCGAGCGGACCCAAGACCGCTCCAAGACGGTTCGAGATGGCCACGGAGCCTCCCAAACCTCTCTCGCTGTTTGACTATGCATGTCTCTTCCTCTCCCTCCCTCCCCGTCAACTCTCCATGGGCATCGTTTCTGGATAGGCTGGCGTGATACTTGTTTGGTACGCGGGCGCGCGAAGACAAGTCGACCGCCGAGCAAGCGAGGGCGGGCCGCGCCGCAGGGCTGGTGTGGATACTTTTTGATCGCGACCGCGGCGAGAAAAGTCGGGCGGCGTCCAGGATATTGCACGCGGGCAGCGACCTAAGTTAGCGCATCGGAAGAGGAAGGCGAAAAGCGAATAACAAGAACGAGCAGGAGAGACAAACTGGAGGCGAGCCTCACTGCCGTTCAGCGGAGCGCAGTCACCAGGAGGAAGTTATGGGCGTCGTGCAAGACCAGGAGGTAATTCAGGAAACCCACGATCCAGATGAGGAAAGCCGCCGCGAGGAACAGCTCGTCGTGGACACAGCCAAATACCATCGCAGGACGGCAACCTCCGACGCGGAATGGGGCAGGACGTGCGGGCGCTCAACTGAAAATCCGGATCGCCAGACACCAAGTGGCGCGGCGGAGAAAGGCCAGAGGCCCGAGCGCAGGCGAACGGCGGAAAGGCTGGAGAAGCGGCGGCCGAACAGACGCCCAGGGGCGCGAAGCGCGACCCGCGGAAGGGGCGGCGAGGGGGGGGACTAGGTGTCCGTCGACCCCAAGCGGGAGGAGGGAGGCGGCAGGCTCGATGCGAATCGCAGGCCCCGAGAAGGCCAGAGAGATCTCCGAGGGGGGGATGCCAGCTGGCAGACCGCTGGAACGGCCAGGAGAGCCCCAACGGAAGAGGAGGCCCGCAGACCGGCGCCCTGGGCCGGGGGGGCTTCCCAGCGACCTCACGCGCAAGGTCTGGGGCTGCGGCAGAAGGACGAGGTTGGGGCCCCGCCGGGAGGAATACCCCCAAGGGGGGGCACTGACCCGAGCGCGACGGGCCCATCGGGTTTCCCTGCGGCCTCGCACGCTGAGGCAGTGCCGCCGCGACGCCGGCCGCGGTGCCGCCAGCCGCCGCCGCCGCCGCCGCCGAAGGGGGGGCTGGCGTCGACGGCAGCAGCAGCGCCAGCAGCGGCAGCGGCGGCAGCGGCGGCGCCCCGGCGACGCGCGGCGCGACGGCGGGAAGCGGCGCGCGCAGCGCCAGCCGCGGCCGCGGCGCCACGGTGCAGGCGGCGCAGGCGGTGCCTACCGCGACGGAGGCGTCGGCTGCGCGCGCAGAAAGCCAGGTGACCAGCGGCGCCAAGCCGCTCGCGGCAGTGGATCCACCGCGGCGGCGGCAGTCGTCGCGGCAATCGAGCACCGGCGTCACAAGCGGCGGCCGCGGCATCGAGGACGCCATCGGCAGTGGGAACGGCGGCTGGGGCGGCAGCAGCTCGCGCTGACGCCGCCGGAGGGCCAAAGGCCCCTCGCCGCGAGCAGGGGCACCCGCCATAGCCCCGTGAGGGGAGGGGCCAAGGCAGGGCAGACCAACGCCCTGGGCCGAGGGGGCGCCCCTGCAGCCTCGCGCGCGAAGCCGGTGAGCGGAGAAGGCGAGAGAGCGACGAGCGGCCGCCTGGTTTGTAGTCCCCAAAGCCACGCCGAAAGCGGAGCGCGGCGGCTGGTCCGGCGCCGCGTGTAGCGACGCGGCAGTGACACCCCCCAGGCGCCTCGGCGTTCTCATGGCGAGAGACGGCGGAGGGGGGCTGGGGGACCCCGGTGCAGCGCGGGGGGGGGAGATCCGGCGCCGAGGGCGAGCGGGGGGCCCAGAGGAGGGCCGGCGACGCCAGCTGGGTGCTCGCCGGGCACTGTTGGGCGCGAAGCCAGGGCGGCCGCCGGGGGGGGGGCCCAGGCGCCGAGAGAGCGACTAGTGACCACCTGGTTGGTAGGACCCAAAGCCACGCTGATAGCGGAGCGCGGCGGCTGGGCCGGCGCCGTGTGTAGCGACGCGGCGGCGACGCCCCCCAGGCGCCTCGGCGGTCTCGCGGCGGGAGACGGCGGAGGGGAGCCAAAAGGCGCAGCGCCTAGGGCTGGCGCAGGGGGGGCGGTCAGCTGGGTGAGGGTATTGACGTGGTGGTTCAGCGTACTCGACGGCCTGGTGGTATCCGAGGTCGGTGGCGCCACCTCCGTCGGCTGGCCTCCCAAAAGGTAGGGGGGCGACGCGGCAGCCATCGCGGCGGCTGCGAGATAGATAGTAAGGAAACGGAATGGATGTGTTGGAAATGTCGGAGAAGTGGGGAGATGAGCCGGGATGCCTTGAGCCAACCTTGAGCCAGTTGCTGCTGCAAGCTTGTAAGGCGAGTGTGCGCAACGCTGGGGCGAGAATCCCATTTCCAACAGGAGCCGCCCACCATCCTTGAAACGACTGCAAACTTTGAAGACGAATGTGCGGTGAGCATTTTCACCACGAATGCGCGCCGTGCTAAGGCGATATCTCCATTTATAAAAGGGCCCGCCCTCCATCCAACGAACGCGCGCGGCGGGAGGGCGAGAGCTTCATTTTAAATGCGACCGCCCTCAATTCTGGAAGCTGTTGCACATTTCAAGATTTAGGGCCATAATTGGTTTGGAAGGCTCAAGGGACATGCCCGGCACGCCCCACCGAAGCGACTGGGTGCGCGACAAGGTGGAACTCCTCATGATGAAAAAGGGTGGAACAGGGTAGCGGGAACGAGAGTGCGACGAGGGAGAAAAGGAGGGACAAAAAAAGGAGGAGGAGAAGAAAGAGGAGGAGGAGGAGGAGGAGGAGGAGGAGGAGGAGGAAGAGGAGGGATACTAGAGGGAGGGACAAAAGGAAGGAATAGGAGGACTGGGGGAAGAGGAGCACGAGGGGGAGGAGGAGCACAAAGAAGAGGAGGATGAGGAGGAACACAAAGAAGAGGAGGAGGAGGAGGGGGAGGAGGAGGAGGAGGAGGAGGAGGAGGAGGAGGAGGAGGAGGAGGAACGGAACGTAGAGGGGGGGGCCGTCACCCCCACCCCACCCGCGGGTGGCATGCGCCGTGGGCGCTCCTGCACTGTTGGGCGGCTCGGGGGCACGGAACTCGACGTTCGCGTCGGGATCCACGGTTTCATTCAGAGAAAGTGGCGGGAGCGGGTAGGAATCCGAGGGACAAGGAGGGCGATGGGCAGTCGGCGGCACGATGGGAAAACCAAAGGCACCAGGCGGATCGGCTGACTGACAGGTGGGCGGGGCGAAAACGGGACCAGAGCACAGGAGAAAGGAGCGGAGGAGGGGCACAGCGTCGGCAACAGCATTGTCAGTGAGCGAAAGACGAGGAGAGAAAAATGTGGGCAGCTGCCACAGGGCATCAGCCGATGGGGCAACAGGAGCGAAAGGAGATGCGGCGAAGACCATGCCCCGACGCGGGGTCTTCAAGGTTGCACATGGGATAGCGTCGACATGAATCGCAGTGGGCATCAGAGGCGGACGAGAGATGCGCGGAGGACAATCAGGCAACGCAGCGAGATCATTTCCGAAATCACTCGAGGAGGAGGAGGAGGAGGAGGAGGAGGAGGAGGAGGAGGAGGAGGAGGAGGAGGAGGAGGAGGATAAGGATAAGGGTAAGGATGAAGCCCTTTGGGGTCTGCGTCTCTACTTGAAACACTTTTGGGGTGACCCCGGGGTTGCTATATAGAAGCTGGCCCCCGACCTTTGCGTTCGAGGGCTGCCTGGCGCGCGCGGCCCCCTACCCTTGCGGCGGCGGGCCGCTGCGCCGTCAGCAGGGTGGCCCTGCCTCGGTGCACTGGTGCCGAGACGCAGGCGGACTCTGGCGCCCCCCCATGGAAGCGGGCCCCAGTCCGCTGAGAGCACCCCCCCCGTCCACCCCCCCAGTCCCACACTCCACCTCCTCCCACAACCGCTCTCGCTGCTGTCGGCGCGATGCGGGGGAAAAATTGCCTGCTGCTGCTGGGCTGAGTGGAAGCCCGCCTGCTGCTAGTTGGCTACTCTCCGTCGTTCGTAGTTAGCCTCATTGGCAAGTGAATGCCCGACGGGGAAGCTCCCGGCGCTGGCAGGGCGCTAAACAGAAAACGGGCTGCTGGCTGACATCGCTGCTCGCGACGTGCAGCCCGACCCCCACCCCGCCTTCTCTGCGACCGATGGGTCGCGGAGGCGAAAGTCCCTGCCCAGGCTCGGCGCACTCGGCTCCGCTGGAATGCCTGGCGGGGGTGGGGGCTGGAGCTGCAGCTGCGTCGGCGGCACTTTCGCGCGCGGCGTCCACCCCTGGATGCTCTTGCTGGGGTTCGTGCACCTAGGGCGCAGCTGCGTGCCGCTGCTGTGCGGCTGCTGCAGGCTGTCGAGACTGCTGTGGTGGTCCACCGCCTTCACCTCGGCGTAGCCCCAGCCGTAGTCACTCTCCGCCCACTTAGCGCAGTAGCCTTCGAGCTCGTCGGTCTGGGGCCTCGTGTAGTCCAGCTCCCACGGGTGGGGCCCTCTGCGGAGCCTGCTCTGGCTGCCGAGGATGCTTTCGACGCCGCGGCTGTGCTCGAACTTCTGCCTGGGGAGCTTCGCCACGTGGGCGCGCTCGATCTGCTCGTATTGGTTCGGGCTCTCGCTGGCAGCGATCCTCGTCGAGCTCGTCGTCGTGCGCTCCTGCAGTGTGTCGAGGCCGTAGAGCACCATCTGGTTGTGTTGGTTGATGTCGTCGCACCTCTCGCTGCTGCTCTGCAGCGTCTTGTGGCAAGTCTCCAGGCGGTGCTGCGCGGTTCCGAAGATCTGCTCGCATGGGCCGCTGCCACGCTCAGCAGGCTTCTGAATTGCCACCTGCTCCGTCGCCGTCGCCGCCTCCTGCGCTGGCGCGGTGGGCTAGGCCGCCGCGGCCGCTGCCGCCCAGACTGTCGGGCTGCGCTGCTGCGCCGTGCCGACTGGGCGCGGTTGTCGGCAGTGGCCCCAACTGGTCCCGCGCGTGGGAAGATGCCGAAAGGCTCGGATCGAATCGAGAGGGCCGCGGTGGGAGACGGATCTGGGCAGCGTTGGAGTCGGAGCCTGACGCCCTGACCCTGGCCTAGCCTGGTTGTTGACTGAGCTGGGGGGGGGGGGGGGGGGGGCGCGGCGTTGTGGTGGGGGGCGGGCGTGGGTCCGTAGTTGCGTCGGTTGTTGCGGGAGAGGCCGACGGGTCAGGAAGAGGCTCAGGAGTCCTCGTCGGACCAACTCCAAGTACTTCATGCCCTGGTTCGACCCTGGTCCGGCTTCTCCCTGGACTCTTGAGTCTCCGTCGTGGGTGGTCCCTCGGGGGCCCTGTGTTGCCCCCTCTGGTGGGTGGGGTAGGTCGGCGCCGATGTCGGTCCGCAGTCTCCGAATTGGTGGGTTCAATGCGTAGGTAGGTCCACTCGTACTCGCGCATATCCAGCTGTCGTGAGGTCCTGATTCCAGTAGCTGTCTGCCTAGTCCTGCACCTGGGGCCGATGTGCCTAGTATTGATGAATGTAATTGTGGCGTGCTGGTGGTTAGACCGTGACTGGGGGTAGGTTGACAGGTACCGCGGCTTGATCGTATTCCCTCGAACGTCGTTCCCGAAAACAATAAGCCATGCGCAATATGTTCGCCATGTGGCCCCCGAGTCGTGTCGCTGCTCTCGCAGAGTCGCATACCGCTCGAGGTCGCTGCTGATCTGCGTCGCGAATTTTTCCTCTCTGGTGCACGGCGGGACTGGGGGGGGGGCCATCGCTGGATGGCCTTGGCCCCGTTGATCCCGAGGCGGCGCTCGCGGGGCCCGCGACTACTGACGGCTGAGGGCTGCTGGGCTTCTCTAGCGGCTGGCTGGTTGTCCGCGGCGCCTGCTGAGCTGGGCCTCGACGACCCTCTCCATGCCCGTCTTCGGGCGTCGGGCCTCCTGAGCAGCTCTTATGGCGCCCAAGAACGCGAGCGCCGACCCCGGGGGCCTGCTTGAACATGCCCCCCTTGAACCCGAGGGTCCGCTCGCACTGGGCCAGGTCTAGGTTCTGCTCGCATAGGGCCGCCCTGAACGACGGCGACGTATTGATCGCGTGCACGACCTTGGCCCTGCGCTGCTCCGTCTCCATCTCCTCCTCCGACGGCTTGCGCGCCTCCTGGATCTTGCGCTGCAAGAAGACTTCTGTCACGAACGTTGGTCCCCATGGCTGGTCCAGCTGCTCCATGAACTCCGAGGGTCTTGGCCGCGTGCTGCGTCGGCTGGTCGTTGTCCTGCACCTTGGCATTGAGCGCATCTGCTATCCCTTCCGCGAAGGCCGCTGCGACGCGGTCGCAAGGACATCCGCATCCGTGGCCCTTGCCCTTGGCCTTCGCCTTCCTGCCGTGCTCGCGGCCTGTCTCCACGGTGGGCTGGATCCACTCTTCCGCAAGGAGAGCCAGCCAGAACTCGCTCGCGAGGTGGGAGAGGGCGCGGATCTCTGCAGAGTTCTACAGGGCCAGCCACTGTAGTGCACGCGTGCTGTCTCGTAGGTCTGCTTGCGCACCCTCTCGCCCCCCACCTGGGCTTCCACCTCCTCCTGGGGGTCCGCGACCTCGCCCTCTTCCTCGGGCTCCTGGCTGGGACGCCTGGCCGCCGCTGCCCTCGCCGATGTTGGCCTGCTTCTGTGGTCTGGTCCTGACGGCGGCGGGCGCTCGACTCGCCGCTCCATCGTCTCGACCCTGGCGTTTCAGGCTGCGTGCAGCTCCGCCTTTGGCCGCTCTGATCTGGTCAGGGACCGCAAGGTGCTCTCGCGTGTGCGCCTGGTGCTCCTCTGGCGTTGGAGCCTGATGGGTACAGATCCGGCATGTTAATGTCCTGGGTTCATGTATGGGGTGGGCCCACTTGGACTTGTCATGGCGGCATGTCCAATGCTTTTGGACCGATCTCGTGGCATGGCCGATCGTTGTTTGTCGGTCTACAAACGTACTCTCACACCACTGGCACTGGCTGTTGACTAGTACTGCTGCAACAACTGGTCTAATGCTGTGTGCTTCCCGTCGGTGCCCTGCAACGACTGCGTACGTTTGATATATGCATATAAGTATATATATATATATATATATACATATACATATATATGTGTGTCCACATGTTGTTTTCCCCCTCCCCCTCCGTGCCCACAGCAACAGGGTTACACCAGTAGGGTCGTAGTAAGTATTTCTTGCTCCTTGGGGTAGCGGGACCAGCTCTGGTACCTCCTGACTCGTCGCACCGTCAGTGCAATACTTGAACGTTCCATTCTCCAGTGCCTGAGTACTTGTCGTAGGTTGTTGCAGCGTGTGGTGCCGCCCTCCTTTTCCCAATACCTAGCCCCTCCTGCTAGTGTACGTAAATACTTGCCGAGTACACTGTCTAGCGCATTGGTGTGTGCTGTAGTTGTAACAAATGCAGTTGGTCCACTGAGGGTCGCGCCTATGACGAAGGCCATGTACATTAGCCGTTTGATCTGGCGTGGCGTGTCGGATGCCCAGGAGGTACCGCGCTGTCGCCACGCTAGTCTGATCGCACTGATGCGTCTGGCTATTTCGCCTGCGATGCCCTGTCCAGCTGGTAGGTACGGCCCCAATACCCTCATGGCTCTGAGGGCGAGCCCTCTTACTGTGGTGCTGCGTATCAAGGCCCTGGTAGTGCCGTAGTTACCCATGCCCACTCAGTGTAGTAAGTGGTTCGTTTTGCTGTGGTTAAGGCCCCAACCTCCTTCTTTCAATGTGTCGGCCAGTTGGTCGGTGGTGCTGTTGATGTGTGTATGTATGTATGTATGTGTGTATGTATGTATGTGTGTATGTATGTGTATATATATATATATACTCCTCTTCCTATATCTTTATAAGCCTGGGCGGGGGGAAAACCCATCCCCCCCCCCAAAACCGGACTCCCAGGACCTGGGGCTTTGGGGCCCTCCGGACGGGCCTCGAAGCGGCCACCGGGCCTCGCAAGGCGTTTTGCCAAGCCTTCCCAGCACAGTTAGGGCGATCAGGGGGGTCATCGGAGACGTCCCAGAGACCCCCAAGACAGCACAAGAGCGCTCCAAGAGTGACCGACGTGACCTCAAGATGGCCCAAGAGGCCTCCAGGACGGCCCCAAAGAGGCCTCCAAGAGCACTCCTAAGAAGGCCCCCCGAGGCAAAAACCATTGATTTTCTGAAGGTTTTTGGTGAATTTTGGGGTTCTCCTCTTTTCGGCTTCCCGACGCTCCAAGACGGCGGTCTTCTGGGCGTCCGAAGCCGCCTGGGAGGTTCCCAAATCGCCCCACAACCATCCGAAAGGACTTCCAGGCAGTCCAAGAGAGCCCCAAAACGGCACAATACGGGTCCAAGATGGCCCTCAGAGAGCCCCATGGCGGCCCAAGATGGCCCAAAGACACCCTCCGAAGAATTCCAAATCGTGATTCGGTCGTTCAGGGAGACGGCGGTTGGAGGCAGGGTGGCCCGAGGAAGCTCCCGGAGGCCCCCAGAATACGCCCAGGAGGCCTCCAGAAGGCCTTAAGAAAGCCCGAAACAACTTTTGTGAGGCCCCTAGAGGCTCTCCAAGGAGGAGCTTCCGCAAAAAAGAGCTGAGGAGGATGTGGAGAATGCGCAGGGTATGGCGAAAATAAGGAACAATAAGCATGGAGGAAGGATAACGAATAACATCATTATAGCGGCGATGCCGGAAAAGGCAACCAGGAGTTATCGCTAAATTGTCGGCTTGACCTTCCTGCCATTCCGCCTGCAAACCAAAGTTCAAGGACCAAGGTGCATGGCGCGAAGCGTCACTGCAGTCTTGTGTATATATATATATATGTCCTGTGCCGTGGCCATGTCTGAGATTGTTGGTACGTGGGAGATGTCGTCCATGAGTGTACTGAGGCCAATGCAATGTGTTTTGCCCCCCACTGGGCCGTAGGTTTCGTGTATAGACTGGTTTGGGTCGCTTCTTTCTTGTGACCACCATTTGCTGACGCAGATGTTGTACGCGTCGCTGAACTGTCGTGGGCAGAGGGTAAAACCCATTTGTGCTCCAGTTGTGCTTTCCGCTTCTACTGGGCCGTCTGCCGCCTCGAGTGAGGAGGAGAGGGAGGAGGAGTAGGAGGAGGAGGAGGAGGAGGAGGAGGAAGAGGAGGAGGAGGAGGAGGAGGAGGAGAAACACGAGGACGACGAACAACAGGATGAAGGCGACGCTGAATGCCCTTTCTGTCGGCGTCGCCGGCGCCGTCACAGCCTCCGCAGCCGCTCCGCCACGCGGGGGGCGGACCGCAGCTGCCCCAGCAGGCCCTGCGGCAGCGCCTCGGGGCGCCGACGACGTCGAGCGAGGGCGACGGGAACGAGAGCGAGGACGAAGAGAACGAGAGCGAGGACGAAAACGAGAACGGTAACGACGAGGACGTTGACGTTGGCAGCTACGATGACGACGGCGACGGCGACGACGAGGACAACGAGGACGAGGAAACAATTGAACAACACTCACGCGTAACATGTGGTTCAAACTCCCCCCCTCCCGCCGCGTGCAATGCTGGCTTCAGATCTTCCGAGCTTGGGCGTGCGAGCGGTAGCGCGTAGACGCGTCAACTCTGAATTGCGGGGTCTGTTTCCCTCAACCGAGGAGACGTGCTGAAAGAAGGATAAGAGGCGGCCATGACATCTGAGGATATATCATGGTCCCAGCCATGATATCTTAGAGGAAAGAGAACTATGCACATGCACCGATTCTGGCCAGGCCCATCCTGAGCCCAGGATCGGTGCATACGCCCTCCTACCTTGGCTAGGAATGTATATGCACCGATCCTGGGTCAAGGATGGGCCTTGCTTGCCAGGATCGGTGCATGTGCATAGTTCCCTTCGCCCGAATATCTGACCCCCACCAATCATCACCCCCTCTTGGACGCCTCCGAACTTCGGAGGCCGAGCGCCCATCCGGAGATGTATGCGGTCATCGTGCTGCGGCAGGCCCGCGTCGCGATCTCCGGCGTCGGTTCCCGACACCGCGTAGATCGCTCAGCCTTCAAGGATCGGCGGCCTGTCAATCGCCAGGTCGTTCCGTACTGGCAGGTTCTGGGCCACTGGCGGCGGTCAACCTTGAACGCCTGCGCTGCGGGCGCAGCCGCATCGACACGGCACGAACCTGCCGTACCATACGGAACGCTGAAACCGCCAACTCCCGCTTGCAGAGGGTGAGGAGGCGTGTGAGATGAATTGGTGTCCCCCTCGCACTTTCCCCCGCCCCGGGGGGTCCAAAATCCCGTTGGCGGGGTGGGGTGCGTGGGGGGACCAACTCGCCAACGCACCCCTGGGCCCCTCCCAGCATCCGAATCCGCCACACGTGGCCCCCAAGATGTCTTCTAAGATAACGCAAGAAGGGCTCCCACACGCCAGGGAGGCCTCAGGAACACCCAAGGTGGCCTCGAGACGGCCCCAGAAGCCCTCAAGACGCCCCAAGAGAATCCCCAAGAAAGCCTCAATACGCACAAATCACAGATATTCAACAATTCGGTGCTATAATATTTGTGCGCGTCTGACGTTCACGCATGTCCATTATCATCTCTTCGATCGGAGCGACAACTGAAGCACGATGGGAAATTAGCCAGAGCCTCCCCGCAATCGCTTCCGAGAGCGATGGTTTTCCAACCAGACCCGAATTCTGTGATGCCGCGAGACTGGCGCTCTCCAACAAAGTCGAGGGAGGCCGCGTTTAAAATGAAATGCCTATATGCACGCCCGCGCGCGCTGGGTGTTGCAGGAGACGACCTGGACCGCCTGCAAGTCTTGTTACAATCCCCTCAGAGTAGTTGGGACGCAGCTGCCAAATAATATGGGAACTCTTCAGTATGATCTTGCTGTGTTCTCCCCCTCCCCCCTCTCCCCGCCCTCCTCCTGCTCTCCTGCTCACCCACTCCTGCACGCGAGTGCTGCTGATCACCCTCGCGCGCCATTGGCACAAAGTTTGCCGGCGGTCGAGCTCCGCGGCGCAGTAGCCGCTCCCAGACATGTGCATGCAATTTTTCTTCTGCCGATGCGCCGTCAAGGCGCGGCTCTTGAGCGAGTAAGACCACCCAGAGAGCCCCCGGAAGGCCCCACGAGCACTGGGAAGGTTCCCACAGGGCCGACCCAGATGCCTCCAAGAGGTCCCAAGAAGCCCCGCAACAGACGCGGAAGAACAGGATGACAAATCAGCAAAACCTAGTCGGAAGCAAAACGACGGGAAGCGACAAACAACACATACGACACCGGAAACCGCACATGTCCTACTCTGGAGGTCGGCGGAATCGCGTAAGCCTTTTGAATATGGAGCCAAAGGGCTTTTCTGGCTACAGCAAGCCTCGGCTACGAATAGGTTACCCGACCCAAGTCTAAGGCACGTCCCGAGAACGAGAGGCCATCCTGAACCCAATATGGTAATGATTGCAGCGTCTTGGCTGTAGCACCCCTTCAGCAAAACACAATTTAATGATGACGCCTTGGGGACCAAACCCCGCGGGCGCAGGTCCGTGAAACTGGCCGCCGCAGTGCCCGTTCGAGAAGCTAAAACGCTCCCCCACGGACGGCTTGACTACAACAGTTGACTTGGCAAGGCGGGAATTTCATGGAGGAAACAAATCTTCATATTGCAAGGACGAGCGGTCTCCAGAATGGAGGTCAAGCCTCCAGTGCGGAGGCCGTCGATCCTTTGAGGAGGGTCCCAAACCGTTTCCGGGGTCCGTCCTGGCAAGCCTTTCGAGTTGCACCCAGCCGTGGTGACCAGGAACTTCAGAAGAGCCCGGGCCCAACAACCGTCGCCACGAAATCGCCGTCGCCGCCGCCACCGCCGCCGCCGCCGCCGCCGCCGCCGCCGCCGCCGTCGTCGTCGTCGTCGTCGTCGTCGTCGTCGTCGTCGTCGTCGTCGTCGTCGTGGTCGTGGTCGCGGTCGCGGTCGGCGGCCAACGGGGGCGCCTCCGAGCCCTGCGCGGCCCCGGCGAGCATGCCGAGGGGCACGGCGCGCGCGGCAGTGTCGCCGCCCAGCATGGCGTTGGCGGCCAGGAGCTCCTGCAGGGGCCTTGCAGTGGAGGTCCCAATCGGGCCAGGAAGGGTGCGAGTGGGCCGAGATGGGCGGGGAGAATGCACGTGGGCGCACCCGCTGGCACCCTCGTGGAGGTCCCTATGATGCCACGAAGCGTGTGAGAGGTGTGCCAAAACGGGCCGGGGACTGCATGTGAACGCACCTACTGGGGATTCCGGTGGAATCCCCTATGCGGGCCACTGAGCGTGTGAGGGGTGTGCCGAAATGTGCGGGGGGGGGGGGGGCGAATGTGGCCTTACCCACTGAGGCCTTGCGGTGGAGCTCCCAATGGGGCCACGAAGAGTGCGAGGGGTGTGTCGAAATGGGCGGGGGGATGCATGTGGGCGGACCCGCTGGCAACCTCGTGGAGGTTTCTATGGTACCGTACCACGAAACGTGTGAGGGGTGTGCCGAAATGGGCGGGAGAAAACATGTGGAAGTGGAGACCACGAAACGTGCGAGGGGTGTGCCGAAAAGGGCGGGGGGACCGCATGTGGGCGCACCCACTGACACCCTCGTGGAGGTCTCTCTGGTGCTACGAAACGTGTAAGGGTTGTGCCGAAATGGGCGGGGGGACCGCATGTGGACGCGCTCACTGAGGCCTTCGGTGGAGCTCCCAATGAGGCCACGAAGCTAATGAGGGGCGTGCTGCAATAGGAGGGGGGGACTGCATGTTGGGGTGCCCACTGGCACCCTTGGGGAGGTCTCTATGGTGCCACGGAACGTGTAGGTGGTGTGCCAGGATGGGCGGGGAGACCGCATGTGGACGGACCCACTGGGGACTTCGGTGGAGCTCTTGATTATTTCCCATATCCTAAGATGGTGCTCTTGTCCCCCATATCCAAATCATCGGGTTCTTGTTACTCTCCATATCCAAAGGATGAGGTTCTTGTTATTAGTCTGACCGCGCCGAGAAGTCACCTCCCCCAGTTCTTGGTACCCCCATGTCCAAAGGATGGGGTTCTTGTTTCCCATATCCAAAGGATGGGTTCTTGTTTTCCGCACATCCAAAGGATGGGGTTCTTGTTATTACTCCGACCGCGCCAACTCCCACATACCCCTCCCGCCTCCTTCTCAGGCTATGGTATGTTATATTGTGCGATGCTCTCGTAGTTATGCTAACATATCGTATGGATGACATTGTTTGGTTTAGGTTGCTATGCCGTGTTATGTTATGTGGTCTGATGGTATGATATGTTACGTCATGTATTGGTATGTTGTGTTATGAAATCATATGCTATGTAATATTAGGTCACCTTATGATTGAATAGCACCCGCATGCGATACCATGCTATGTAATGATGATGGTGGTTATGCGGCTGATGGTGGTGGTGGTGATGCTGATGATGCTGGTGATGCTACTGGTGATGCTGCTGCTGATGATGCTGCTGCTGACGATGATGATGACATACTTATAACGATAATGATGATGATAATGATGATGATGCTGTTCATGATGATGCTGATGCTGATGACGATGATGATGAAGAGGCGTATGATGATGATGATGATGATGATGATGATGATGATGATGATGATGATGATGATGATGATGATGATGATGCTGATGCTGATGCTGATGCTGATGCTGCTGATGCTGCTGATGCTGCTGATGATGATGGTGAGGATGATGATGTTGATGTTGATGACGATGCTGATGATGATGCTGCTACTGCTGCTGCTGCTGATGATGATGATGATGCTGCTGCTACTGCTGCTGTTGCTGCTGCTGCTGCTGCTGATGATGATGATGATGATGATGATGATGGCGGAGCAAAGTCTGAGGATGTCTCGAGCGAGGCGCGGGTTTCAGCATCCCCAGAGGGAGCCGCCACAAGGTATCTCACTCCTCCGTTCGCGCCGAAATGGCGGGGATGTCTCGAGCGGTTGGCCTCTTCTGGTGCCCGACATGCTCCGCTTTCGGAGCAGATTGTGAGGATGTCTCGAGCGACGCGCTCATGTTCGCCGCCAGTTTTTGAGGATGTCTGGATCGGTTTGCTTGTTTTGGTGGCCAGGCTTATTGGCACAAATCCTCCCCAGGATGCCTCCAGCAGGCTCCAGGAGGCCCCAGGAGGCCACAGAAGGTCACAGGAGGCATCAGGAGGCCACAGGAAGGCTCAAGGAGGCCCCAGGAGGCCCCAAGAGGCTCCAGGAGGACCCAGGAAGCTCCAGGGGGCTCCAGGAGGCTCCAGGATGCTCCAGGAGGCCACAGGATGCTCCAGGAGGCCACAGGAAGCCACAGGACGCACCAGGAGGCACCAGGAGGCCCCGGAAGGCACCAGGAGGCCCCAGGAGCAGGAAGGCTCAGAAGGCCATAGGCGTGGCTCCAATCGCATGTGTTTTACACATGCTTCTATAGATTGGGCATCCCCTGGAGTACAGATCCTCTGTGCTTTACGATGCTTCACGTATGTTTCTATAGATTGTCCTTCTCCTGCGTGTCCAATCCTAAGTGTTCTACGCATGTTCCTATAGATTGGGCCTCCCCTGGGGCACGAGTCTGGGGTGTTTCACGCGTGTTTCTATATATTGGCCTTTTCCTGTGGCTCCACTCCGCAATGTTTTATGCACGTCTGTTCACACATATATGTATATGTATGTATATGCATATGTATCTGTACATATATATATATATATATATATATATATATATATATATATACATACGTATATATATACCTATATACATATTGGGTCTCTCCTGGGGCACGAATCCTCCCAATGATGCCCCAGGAGGCTCCAGGAGGCCCCAGGAGGCCACACGAGGCCCCAAAAGGCACCAGTAGGCCCCAAGAGGCTCCAGGAGGCCCCAGGAAGCCCCAGGAGGTTTCAAGAGGCCCTAGGAGGCCCCAGGCTCATGCGCAGAGACGCGCTCGTACTACTGCATTCACGATTCGATTCGCTCCCAGACCGTCAATAGTCAAGCCCGCTTATATTCGAAAACTCTTGCGCCTTGACACTCGCGGTGGACATGTCCATGCTAATAGATGCACATCCAGGGAGCTCCACGCAGTCGATAGTTATTACACTGACCGTGTCGAGAGGGACCCCCTCACCTCTTCCTTCCCATGCGATGTGATGACATAGTATGTTATGTCATGTTATGGTATGGCAGCTTACTCCCCATATGCAAAGGAAGTGGTTTTGTTATGCTCCATATCAAGAGGATGAAACTCTTGTTATTACTCCGACCGCGCCAACTCCCTCACTCTCTCACACCCCTCCCCCTCCTCCTCCTCCTCCTCCTCCTCCTCCTCCTCCTCCTACTCCTCATGTTATGATCGGGTATAGTGAGTAACGCGATGTTATGGTATACTATGGTATGTCATGCTATGTTCTGAGGTGTTACGATATGCTACGTTTTGATATGGCATTATCTGGTATGGTATGGTATGCTATGCAATGGTAGGCTGTGATATGGCATGCTATGTTACGTTAGGTTATACCATGCCATGTTCTGATGATGCTGGTGATGGTGATGATGATGGTGTTGATGGTCATGTTGACACTGATGCTGATGCTGATGCTGCTGCTGCTGCTGCTGATGATGATGATGATGATGATGATGATGATGATGATGATGATGACGATGGCAGAGCAGATTCTGATGATATCGAGCGAGGCGCGGGTTTCAGCACCCCCAAGGGGTCAGCCGCCACGGGGTATCTCACTCCTCCGTTCGCGCGGCCTGTTCTGGTGCCCGACATGCTCCGCTTTCGGAGCAGATTGTGAGGATGTCTCGAGCGAGGCGCTCATGTTCGCCCCCACGGGGGGTCAGATGTTGAGGATGTCTGGATCGGTTTGCTTGCCTTGGTGGCCAGACTCGTGGGCACATATCCTCCCCAGCATGCCACAGGAGGCTCCAGCAGGCTCCAGGAGGCCCCAGGAGGCCACAGGAGGTCACAGGAGGCATCAGGAGGCCACAGGAAGGCTCAAGGAGGCCCCAGGAGGCCCCAAGAGGCTCCAGGAGGACCCATGAAGCTCCAGGAGGCCTCAGGAGGCTCCAGAATGCTCCAGGAGGCAACAGAAAGCCACAGGAGGCCCCAGGAGGCCACAGGAAGCGCCAGGAGGCACCAAGAGGCCCCGGAAGGCACCAGGAGGCCCTAAGAGGCCCCAGGAGCAGGAAGCCTCAGAAGGCCACAGGAGTGGCTCCAATCACATGCATTTGACGTGTGCTCCTATAGATTGGGCCTCCCCTGGAGCACGAATCCTTTGTGCTTTACGTATGGTTCTATAGATCGTCCTTCGCCTGCGTATCCAATCCTAAGTGTGTTACGTATGTTCCTATAGATTGGGCCTCCCCTGGGGCACGAGTCCTTGGTGTGTTACGCGTGTTCCTATAGATTGCCCTTCTCATTTGGCTCCAATCCGCAATGTTTTGTGTACGTCTGTTCGTATATGTATGTGTAGATTTACACATGCACATATACATA